GAATAGCTATAGAAATAAATATTAAATATAAACCAATCCCGGTGATTTGTCAAAAGACTGATAAGATTGTGCAAATAAATTGTGCAATTATTCATAATAACGATAAGTGCACAACGAATGGACATTTTCTCTACAATAATTCACATTACCGATAAATAGAAAATGCATCTCTATGGGTTCTCCAGTAGTCCTGATCTTAGCAGACTTCTTACTTGCAAAACTTGCAAACAGAAAAAATAAAAGATGTCATCAATGAGTTGGATATGTACTACTGTTATGTTAATGATACATTTTTCTTAGTTAATGGGAATGTAAACATAGATGAATTGTTCATGAAATTTAGTAACATCCACCCTTGGCTTACTTTCATTTGTAAAGAGGAGCAGGAAGATTAACTGCATTTTCTGGATATCTTGGTGAGTAAGCGAGAAGATGGGTCACTTGACAGAAGCGTGTATAGAAAAAGCACACTCACAGGGTAATACACTCACTTCTTTAGTTCCATGCCCGTTGAGGAAATATTGTTAAGTGTCTCATGGGTAGAGCACGAATGATATGCACGGATGATCACTTGTAAAAGCAATTTGAATATGTTCATGATTCCTTGACGGAGACGGACTATCTTAGTAGGTTCATAAAGAAACATACAAAGACAGTGGGTGGAAAACAGCATAAAACGAACAACTAATTCTTAGGTTACAATTCAATAGGGACTTGTCGAGTGAGATTCTGTTGCAGAGACTAGCCAGATGTTTACGTTTTACTCAGGAGGCTTATGTTTGCCATTCTCTGGTCAACAAGAAATATGTGCTAGGCGTACTGCTAAACAGCTTGGCCAACGTGTTACTGAACATCTCTAGTCGTGGTTTGACAAATGGCATATAAATTCATCCGTAGCTACATGTTTAGCTGCACCACATTTAGCTGATAGTGGTGGTTTAGCGGAGAAAACGAAAGCATTCAAGCTGATCCATCGCATCCCACTGATTCTTTCTAATGTACCTCGTATTAGTCTACTGCATATAGCTGAGGAGATAGGGATTCGAACTATTAAGCCTAAACTGTCTGTTCAAAAGAAGTTCGTACAGTAGCAAATATCACCCCTCTTGGCTTATTAAGACCTAACCAACTGACGATTTCACCACCATCACCCCTTATTTATATTTTCAACCTTTCTCTTATCATCCCTCAATCTTATCACATCTTCATTAAAACAAAGTTTATTTACTTCCCTCATAGTCTGACATCATTTAGTCGGACCGCTTGTTTTTCTTAGCCTTTATCGACTACTTCTATCTGTACATTTGTTTGTTAAATAATGATGTTTTCTTCATTATTCTTATTACCATAGTATCGCTCCAATTATTCATAGCGTAATTGATAGGATCCTTATTCATAATAATAATTGAACAATTTATATTTACAATCCGATGACTCTAATGACAAATCATCGCGACTGGTTTATACTTATTACTTCCTTGTAAACCTACGAATATTAGAGTTCAAACTCCAGAAACCTAATTAAAATATCCATATTTCGCTGATATGTGTTTTGTTTTCGAATGTCTAAATATCACGCATTAATTGTTGTACTCTGCTGCAATCTATCGCCTGAAGTGTAAACTCTCTCCTGAAATTTCAATCCCCAATGGAAAGCCTATGCAAACTGCTGTCATGGCGTCATTTGCACATTTTTATTATTATTATTATTATTATTTTGATTACAGCTTGATTCCACACCGTATTTTTTTTGTACAGGTATGGAATTTTCAGCATGTGATATCACTAGCCCAAATTTTGCTGACCGACCATCGATATCAGGTGTGCGTCGTCAGGGAATCGAAACCCAAACCATGTACATGGTCGGCTAGAATCCTAACGACTGTTCCACCGATGACACATACCGTGTAATGATTAGGTTTCTCTGTACATGTGATCAAGAGTTGGGATATAAGTCTCGCTTACCAACGAAGTTTGTGTATGTTCCCTACAGTGGCTTGACTTATTATTATGCTTTCGTTGCATGTTCCATCACCCTTGAAATAACTACTGATGGTGCTACTTGCTTTGAGTTTTCATTCAGTATGCGTCAGGATAGAACCAACAAGTTGGTGAGGGGAGCAGCTGATCCAGTACTTGAAGTAAACACAGAGAAGACAAGTGATGAAGAAACCTGATCAACATCAGCAAGCACCTATCTCAATCATCAGGACAAAAATGCTCACGGTGGTCACTTCTTCCACTTATCTGGTCAGCATCGTTTCAACATCAAAGCAGTCGAAATTTGTCAAGACGAGACAGGTGTGTTTTCTCTATAATCCAAAATCGGTGTGAAAATCCTCTGTACTTAATATGAAGAGAATAATTCGAATATTCAACACTAATGTGAAGTCAGTCAGTGGTTCTACATGCTTCACGGACTTGAGAAACGCATCACTGGAAGCATTCTCAACAGTCTACTGCAGATTTCTATCAACAGCTGACTTCGACTCGCATACTGGAGATGAAATGGCTGTCGAGAAAGTGTTAGTATGAAGGAGAAGGAAGTGTGGAAAGGAAGCAACCAAGATTTGTAGCCCAATGAATGTGAAGAGAGAAAAAGATGTGGACTGAACGCGCTGTGAGAAGATTGTTGAGCGACATGTTTCTGCATGCTTGAGAGTGTAACTTGAATTGGAAACGACGAGTTGGGTGTTATTCGAGGTTGAGATACAGGAGGTCGTGTGAGAAGGAGATGAAAGCCTGTGGACAATCATGGGGTGAGCTGAAGAATGCTTGTGAGCAGAAAGTGAGATAGCGATATTCTGTAGATGGCCTTATTTTAAGCCATTCTTATTCTCTTGAACTGAATCTACCACTTTTAGGAGAAGGGATACTAGTGACTAAATGAAGATGGTTTTTATGATCATTGAGTAAACACAATTATCGTTTTAAGTAACCTCAACTAATTTCCTAGTAATAAGCAAGCGACAACCTCGATAGAGTTTCAAAACCTCCCCACTACACTAGCGCAAATCCTGGTAAAATGTGAAACCGAATATGTTTCCTACATAAGCAAACTCGAAGGTGAGGAAAGAATCATCTGGATATAATTCGTAAAATTTAAAATAAACACGTAGCTGTGTTGAGTTTAGATGACTATATTAGTCCTTTATGATAGAGAAATTTTTCTTTATGAGAGGACGAATTTGAAATGGTAACTTAGTAGTTCGTATTTCATTTTCGGTACCAAAGGAGCTGGAATGAGGCATTCGCAGTAATAACAATAAATAAATAATGATTTCTACTGCCATCCAATCGCATTCAAACACTCAAGTATCCAGTATTGTTGAACATTATTCTTGAAACTTGGAGACCAACTAATTTCTTGAAAATATACCTTATCAAATTGATGTGATTTATCATTGAGCAAATTCTTTTTTTGGGAAATCCTGCTGACAAATATGCATCCAGAAGCCTCTATCTCCCAATCTACATAAATTTTAGATTGAGACAGAGTCAGGTTTGCGTGTCATAAGGCAGTAATTTTTCGATATGTGGATGAAATACTAGTTTAACCATCAAAACTCTAACAGTTATAGGACACTTCATTTACTTTAATCGCTCTTCTCTGCTTTTAGTGAAAATTACAGTGGATAATTTCGCTCGACTGTGATTCATCAAGATTTACAATGTGAAATCTGAGCATACAGACCATAAGTGCTTGGTAATAATAATAATATTATAATAATAATACAATATTATTATTATTTTCGCTGCATATGGATGAAGGACTTGTCAAGTTATGACTTCAATGACTAGTAAAAGTGTTGACCGTAATTTTGTGAGAAGAAAATGCTAATTTTATAGTCTTCTCAAAGATTTAGACTGCGCATCCACTGATAAACTCCACGTAATCACATATCAGTTGTAATCCTCTGGCAAAGAATTTCAACTATAACTCAGATTTCTGTGCGTTTTTAAGCTTAATGTGACGTGCTTATCTTAAGCAAAATGTCATCAGCAGATGACTCTTTACCAGATAGCCGATATAACCGGTGAAACACCTAACAGAATGACTGTAACAGATGATCTGTTAAGGCATTTCTATCAGATTTATCTCTGCATTACTTTCAGCGGAACTTCAGAGAGAATAAGGCAAGTTAGGCTTATCCAAGGACGTCTAATTACTCTAGCATTTACTAAATTTAATTTAGTTCAACTAAAAGCACTCATACCATGAGATTGTCTTTGAAATACTGATAGATGATCTTCACATCACTGAAACTAGTCTGAAAACTTGTAGCATCCGACAGAGTTCATACTTTGACACTGTGCAACAAGGTTATGAAACTGTAGAAAAACTTTGTAGAAGTTCATCCGGTTTTAAAATATGTTCAAGTATCCTCGACAAAGAATAGATTTTCAAAGCCATTCACAGACAATGACGCACTGAGCATGGTAGAAAATCCCTTATAGTACACATCATGAAAATGTTGAACATGTGTAAATCAAAAATAAGCGAAACGCAGGTTTTGATAAAAATAAAAACAATTTTTCTTCAAAGATGTATAGACGAAAACGAGTTAGGAAATTCAAATTACCACATCAAAAGAGGATTTTCTGTTTCCACATAGAATTGTTACTAGGATACTGTTTCGTCATTCTATGGTAGTTAGGCTACATATAAAAAATCAGATGACATATAAAAGGAAGGCAATAACTGATAAGTATTGTGAGAATAACTGGCTCACTTAGTTGACTAAAAATAGCCTTCTGCTGAGCTACAAATGAGGCAATGAATTCAGTACATTAATGTTTATAATAGTTTCACCAAGTATCTTCGGTGCAAATGACTCATATTTGTCTGCAACATTATATATATATATATAGGTTTTTAGAAATTGTACAATTACATGCATTTCTCGTTTACCATTAGAAAAGTGGAAAACTGTTGTATTTTCCCAATAAGTGTGAATTGCATTTCTGGAATAAAGGTAGGTAGTTCTAGCAGTGAATACTCAAGGATTTGATAAACTGGTTTTACTCCAGCATGGAACTGTACACTTCATGATTTGTTTGAAATCATCCTAGAAAGGAGAGAAATATTGTTTAGTTATTGATCTCACTAATTATGCGGAACAGAACAGTGATATCCGCAAGGTTTTGCTTTTAAAAAAAGTGCTGTTAAGGACACTTATAATAATAATAGCTTTATTCTGAACAATGTTTATTTAATTTAATTGAATTTTAGATTTTTCCCGTCGATTGATTGGACCGAAGTGCTCGGTCCAATCAATCGACGGGAAAAATCTAAAATTCAATTAAATCAATATGACCCGTTGCACAAGAGGTGGCCCTCGTGACCCAAGTGGTCTAGTGGATAACGCTTTAGCGTTGGAAACTATGGGCACTGGGCTCGAGCATCGGTGGGAACATCATCACTCACTGAGAAATGCAGGTACATCCAGCTGACGAGTCCCAAATAGGAAGAAATGCGCATCCTGGATTCCACTGCTAGTCACCATCCACCAATTAAATGTTTATTTAATGTACAGAATTTTCAGCGGAGTTTATTGCATGATATTCCCCCTTCGTCCACGATCTTTAAACAAAAGATTCATTGAAAGTAGATTATGTGACACAACCCTATCTGACCTGAAGCACAAACCTATCTGTTATGGTATCTCTTCTTTTTCGCCAACAAGAAATACACGACATTTTGTTGAATGCCAATTATGAGAAGTTCAGGAGTTCATTGTGTGAACCAAGGACACCACTCTGGAACGGTCATCTAATGCAATGGAATAAGCTACCATCTAGGACATTAGTCGTTCTCATGTTTAGTAGAAACTTGACAGTCAGCAGACCAGATCTTATTACATTTTAACAAACTGAATAGGAGAAATTATATGCAACATACTGAGTAAGTATTTCGGTAGCCCAGGTCTTGATCAGGCTGTCTATATACTTTTACTGCCATATAACACATCTGTATTAGGTCAGTACAATTACCCTAAATGATACTGACAGTGCAGTTGCTGTTGAAACTATTTGTAGCACCAATATTGCGTAATGGTTTCAGTATACAAATTTTTCCTTTCTCATAATAATTCCTTTGCTTTTCACCTCAGAGTCATCACTAATTTAAATTTTGACGTCTTGATGACTTTTATATAGTGCTTCTAAAATAGTAGTGCAAATATATCATCTTATGAAGGAAGAAGACAAGTTTGTAATGTGTAGGTACGCCTTTGAATACCGAACCATAAAGATTCGTTAAAATCAGTAACATTAGTAACATTCGTTTCGAAATATCGGAAATGGTTACTCACTTACTCGGAATGATTTACTCATGATTAAGTAAATTATTGGATTGACAAAAGTATTTGACATTGCAATCCAGTGACATACGCCAAAAATAATTCTTTTTGAATCGTCAGGTATTTTACGGAACTCTGGGTGGAAATCTTGCAAAAGGAAAAACAGGTGTGACGGCAACCAACAGACACCGAACATTGCAACAATGAAAACCAACATTTTGATAATCTAGAAAACGAAAAGAGAAACCACTTATAAATGCTACGAAGACATTATTCGTACTTTCAAGTCAACGAGTATATGTGTCAGACGGCATACTATGTGTGAATAAAAAAATTTTGAAATATGAATAAATATGATTCAATTTTAGATCCTCCCGTCGATTGATTGGACTGAAGTGCTTGGTCTCAGGTTGACATGTTGGCTTCTTGTGCGGATGCTTCGATCATGTCCACTAACTAACTTCAAATTACATGCCCAGACATCGTCAAAGCATCTGCACAAGAAGCCGACATGTCAACCTGAGACCGGGCACTTTGGGCCAATCAGTCGTCGGGAAAATCTAAAATTCAATTAAACAATTAATATGACCCATTTGCACAAGAGGTGGTTCTCGTGGCCCAAGTGGTCTAGTGGATAATGCTTTGGCGTTTGAAACTATTGGCACTGGGTTCGATCTTCGGTGGAAACATCATCACTCACTGCGGAATGCAGACACATCCAGATGATGAGTCCGAAAGAGGGCGAAATGTGCATCCTGGATTCCACTGCTAGTCACCATCCACCAGTTAAATTATAAACTATTATGGCTTATACCCACAAATGTGAGTTGAGTTGCTATGATGTTAATAAGTGATCTGTACTGTTGTAGACCATTGTGCTACCACTTTCGGTAACTATTTTAAGGAAATAAATTGACAGAAACGTGTCATTTATCTGAACCTGAACACCTCGATAATATTCATGATGTAAACATGAGCAGGTGTTAAACGAGTGCGGCAAACGTGAAGTCACTAGTATGCTATAAGTCAATAGATGTCAAGTGAAAGTAAAATTCCTTCTATAAAGCATTTTACTACGTAGAACGACGAAAATGATAAAGAAAAATCCGTTAAAATTCCCTTATTCTGTTGGTAATCCTATTCACCTAAAAACTTTACATGACTTGTTTCTTTGTAGATTTAAGGAATCATGTTTCAGTTGTGAAAACTTTTATGACACTACTATCAAAGCTGACTGAAGCATGCCATTTCCTATAGTGACTGCTGAAACCACAACATCTAACGAATTCCGCTAAGAACATAACAAAGATTTAGATTCACTACTGTCTGCCTAAGAGAAGAAAAACAATGCTACTTTATAGGCATGTTACGTATCGTGCCTACTTCGAAGCCAATCGCAAATGAAAACTTCATATCTGTAAAGCTAGGACATTTCACATGAACTGATTAAATTTGTACATTGTGTCAATTGCGAATTCTAATTAGTTATGAACTTTAGTAAAATTAAGGGCTTATGCTATCAATGCATTTAAAACTATATCACTGCGAGAATATTAATTCAGACATTTAGAAGACAAAGGAAAATTCGAGCAAAGAATATTCTGTTTGATAATTTACTCTTCCAGCTACACAGTTATATATATATATATATATATATATATATATATGTTTAAATACACAGAATATTCTAGAATAGTCATCATTAGCAATATTAATGTCTCTTAAATACCGTCGATTTGTTAAGATCACAATGGGACTACCACAGTTCAAGAAAGACGCATAAGTTATAATAAACATATAAATTCAATAAATAATAAAGAGAATACCAAATAAAATTAAAGAAATTCCTCTAAGAAATTAAGGATCATTTGAAACTTGATAGCCAGGTGGGTAAGGAAAGCGACTGAATCAGTTTCTTTCGGCTGCATAGATTAGGCTTCCTAGTGTGAATCCCAACAGCCTGAGCAGTAATTAGAAGATGGACTGCTGAAGTTAAATTTAACCTATTTGGTATAAGAGAGATGACTTTGAAGGCCTTGTTTACATCAATTTTGTGTTCTGTATCTACGAGATGAGACATTAGAGAATTATGAATGGACTTTCTTTCTCTCTTACTCAACCACTTTGCAGGATGGTGTCCGGAAATTTGACGATAAACGCGCCTAATTATAGGGTCTATGCAACGGTCTCCATAGTAGCAGTCAAATTGATTGATACACATAAAAAGGCGAAATTAGGTAGTTTATCTTTGACTCTCGAACACAAAATAGGGGCAATTTCGAAGGTACAGCATAATGCAGCATTACTAAATGCTGATTTTACCTCATTCCTTAGAAGTTTTAAAAATATCTCACTGATATTATCCCTGTGTGAGGAAGGCCTTTTTTGGAACCGTTGGTGCTCTGGCTTGCCTTGACTGTTGATTCATATTCATATCGATGATTTTACCTCGGTAACCATTCTCACTCAGCAGCAACTATTTAATAATATTAAGCTCTTCATTAAGATACTAATCAGAGTAGATTTTTCTTTCTCTGTGCACCCAGCACTTTATTGGATTGAGTTAGTGTTTCAAAGTTATGAAGCTAAGAAAAGGAGTATACTGACCAGCTGATGTAGGTTTTCTATATACACTTCTTCCTATTATTGTACCGTCCTCCTTTCTACTCATAAGAACGTCTAGAAATGAAATACTAGAGTCTCTTTCCTTCTCGATGACAAAATTTATTTCAGGACAAACGTCGTCAAATTTGACAAGGATATTCCATGCTTCATCCTCATTTTCATAGTCAAAAATGTATCATCCATCTAATGACAGTAGAACTCTAGTGCATTGTAAGGCTAATTTAAATGTTAATATAATATAAAATAAGTTTTGACATTTATGGTAAATTTACTGAGACCGTCAATTACATCAGTAAAACCGAAGCTTTTTAAAAGAATGAAGGTGTGGGAACTGGTTAATTTGCATGATTTGCAATCGAACAACTGGGGCATCAAAAACGAAAACAAAAAAAGAACAGTCAGACGTTTTTCTCTAAACAAATTGCCACTGACACTATCCCGTTCACTTCTGTGATTTATCACCTCTGAAAATGTAATAAAATACTCAGTTCAAATTCTTTCAAACATAAAAAACAACTGATAATATTTCTATTACATCTCTGATTTATACGAACCCCATTAAATATTAGAAATCTGTGATTTATTGTACAGAATTGAATTTTGTTTTGTTTTCTAGTCAGTGTTATAACTGTTAATTTTGTCTTTCCCTGCACCATGCTATATCAAGAGAACATTAAATTCAATATTAATATATGTGTGAAACTTGGGCACTGTGGTAGTAAGTAATTCCATATTAGTTTGCTTATTAGGTATATCACACAGTGAAACAGTATTTTTTACTGGATGACGTTTCGAACAAAATTTATTGTTCATAATCATATCAATTGTGATCACACGACTTTGACACTTGAGTTGTATAGTTTTCTTTCTTCTCTCCTATTTGTCGTAAGGGTAGTAGAATTTTCCAGATATCGGGGACAGGTGATGAATCATTCCTATTACACGTATTTGTAGTTGATTCGATAAACAAAGCTTCTGTTATCAATCTCTCCCTATACCCTGTGACATTAGATTTCACAACTGTCATCCTATCCCATCCAATTGTATGGTTGTGTGTAACTGCATGTAGTGCTATAGCTGAACTATTCTCTAGATTTCTTATCTTATTCGGGTCAACCAATCTAGATTTTGCTAGGTTTTTATGTTCAGCTAGTCTGACCTATGTATTTGACTTGACAATCATTGCAGGGTATTAGATAAACTAAATTGTTTTGTTTTAACGGCTCTACAGGATCCGTTAACCCACAAAGCATGTTTCTAATTGAGTTTGTGGGTTTGAATGCCATTTTCATTCCTGCCTTGTTAAGAATTCTGCGTAAGGCTTCCGAGGTTACTTCCTTGTATGGAATTACTACTGATGATTTAGAATCTTTATTGTTGGTGTCGTCAATATTATTATTATTATTATTCCATACAAGGAAGTAACCTCGGAAGCCTTACGCAGAATTCTTAACAAGGCAGGAATGAAAATGGCATTCAAACCCACAAACTCAATTAGAAACATGCTTTGTGGGTTAACGGATCCTGTAGAGCCGTTAAAACAAAACAATTTAGTTTATCTAATACCCTGCAATGATTGTCAAGTCAAATACATAGGTCAGACTAGCTGAACATAAAAACCTAGCAAAATCTAGATTGGTTGACCCGAATAAGATAAGAAATCTAGAGAATAGTTCAGCTATAGCACTACATGCAGTTACACACAACCATACAATTGGATGGGATAGGATGACAGTTGTGAAATCTAATGTCACAGGGTATAGGGAGAGATTGATAACAGAAGCTTTGTTTATCGAATCAACTACAAATACGTGTAATAGGAATGATTCATCACCTGTCCCCGATATCTGGAAAATTCTACTACCCTTACGACAAATAGGAGAGAAGAAAGAAAACTATAAAACTCAAGTGTCAAAGTCGTGTGATCACAATTGATATGATTATGAACAATAAATTTTGTTCGGAACGTCATCCAGTAAAAAATACTGTTTCACTGTGTGATATACCTAATAAGCAAACTAATATGGAATTAAATTCAATACTCTATAACATGCTAAAATTTCCAAACTGAATCGACAATACTGTTTTAAGCAGACCCACTATTATTACTATTATTATCATATTTATTATTCCAATTTTGTACTTTGAATATTTTTGACTGTATGCAGCTGATGTGAACAAATTACTCAGGTTAATAATTTTAGTCTTGGTTTACTTATATTTTGAGTAAATCAGATGTAATATTGTGACAAATGCTGAGTATTCCATCCTGTACTGTTTTGGGATAAAGTAGATTATTATTATCATTATTAAGTTATCCAATCAAACCGGGAAGTAAAAATTTGCATTTCAGAATTTGGCACCTTATTAATATTCTTAAAATAGCCTGCATCCAGTGACTTCCTGAAGCAGTTCTACATTGATGTATATATACATTTATAATTTTACCTATTGTGATGCATTCAAGGTAACTATTGAATTTCATTTGTGGAAAACTCCACTTTCCTGATAATACAAGCCGTAAACAAGCCTATTCCTTAAATTCGATAACATACTTTGTTTTTGTTTTAATGTTTAACAAGACCGAGTGTTTCTCAGCTA